AACAGAACTCTATTCCCAGTCCTCTCCCAGGCTGTACCCGGTCTTGTTGGCGTACCTGAAGGTGGGGGGAAAGTAGAGGAGAATAAGGGGGGCTATTTCTCAGTGGTTTTTGACCCGCAACCACTTCTTACTTTCTGTCTCAGCATCCGTCTCAGGAAAGGGCCTGCACCTTCCACGTGTCCCAGAGACCAGTTAGGCGGGACTGTTTCTCTGCCTGTGAAGTCGTGGGTGGGGGTGGGGGTGGGGCGGAGAGTGGTGGGAGAGGTCTGGTCCTCCCAGCTCTGTACCATAGATTTGGGGAGGGAAACTCCGGATCCTGTCATAACGTTGTTTGGGGAGGGAAACCACGGATCCTGTCTGTGTTGTAGATAAAATGGTTTTTATGCCATAGGGATATTATTATACTCCCAAAATAAAATGAGGGCAGAAATCAACAATTTGTTTTGTATGTGCAATGCCTTTACTATTGTACACAGAGGACTCAATGACGTCCTATATCAGTGATGGCGAACCTTTTGAGCTCGGCGTGTCAGCATTTTGAAAAACCCTAACATAACTCTGGTGCGTGTCACATATAGAGGTGACACGCAAACTCATTTTTTTGGTTGATTTTTCTTTGTTAAATGGCATTTAAATAGATAAAATAAATATCAAAAATATACATCTTTGTTTTACTATGGTTGCAAATATCAAAAAATTTCTATATGTGACACTCACCAGAGTTAAGTTAGGGTTTTTCAAAATGCTGACACGCCGAGCTCAAAAGGTTTGCCATCACTGGTTTAGAATATCCATCTCTGTCCTGACCTAGAATTTACCTCCCTTTACTTCTAATCATTAGTCCTAATTATGCTCATAGAATATTGTCCCTCAGTTTTTCAATGTGGCAGCTGTTCACTTAGATTCCACTGAGATATCCCAAAAATCCTAGTTGTTTATCATCTCAGCTCCACTTAAACTTTATAGACCTATTTCTAACCCCCTCACAGAAGTTCCTCTACCTAGTAACTTTTCTAACCAAGCACAAGATCTGTTGCCTGGCCAAAGCATCTCCAAAAAATAAAAGCAGGTCAGAAGACAGTTAGGTGGTTAAGTCAGTTTGGACTGCACCTGGAGAAAGATCAGGTCTGGGAATATACATATGAAAAAGGAGATCATGTGCCTATAGGTTTACTTGTGTTATCTTAATAATGCCAATAAGATGTGTACCAACAAAATTAGATTGCACCAACAGGGAGCATATAACTGAACATGTTCTGTTGTGTAAACATAGCCTAGATAAGTGCCATAAAAATATACTTTTATAAACAAAATAAGCCCAAAGGAAAAAAATTTAAAGGTTTTATTGCTGTTGTTGTATATATGTGTTTTGGGTGTTGTCAACATCTTAAGTGATGAAAATGAACTTGTGAATTGAAATTTTTGAAAATAATAAATTTCAGCTAATGAAATATTATATATTAATAAGCATATTTTAAAATATTTTGTTTTTTCAGGTATTAATAGGATAAGTGAAAATAAGAATATCCAGATATTAAGGTATCTCTTGTTTTATTTTTATATTTAAGAATTGTGAACATATACAACTGATATAGTTTATTATACCTATCCCTAATCTGTTTTAGAAACTGAAGCCTTGAGTTTGATGAATGCCTAGGCTGGAATATCTAAGATAAAGCCACAAGGGCTGTATCTGTGGTTTTCAAACTCTGCTCAGTGGAGTTAAAAGATATTACAGAGATATCTTTTGTATTCCATTATGGTGTCTTGGGGCATAGAGGAGAGTGTGTATTTGGGATTCTAAAAATTCAAATAAAGACTTCTACTGCCTTAAAAAGTTTGAAAAACACAACTTTAATCTTATTTAGTAATGGTGAAAAATTGAGGCTCAGAGATATGAAAAGATTGGCCCATGCTCTCACAAGTAACCAATGACAAAATTAAGTTTCCTGATTTGGAGTTCTGTATTCTTCTGTTCTGCCTCCCTCCAAGATGGTATTGTGTACTGATGAAGTATGATCTTAAATAGCTTAAATCTATATTGCATTATAATAGTTCCTGTATTTACTCAATGCATTCTAAATCCACTTTCTTTTCTATTAGTAGAACTATATGAAACATATCTTCTTTATATATAAATAGAAAGATATAGCCATTTATTATGGAAATGAGTTAGTACACTATTGTTAGTCATGACTTACTGTCCTAGTATGTGGTACTACACACTTATTGATCCAAGTAAGGACCATATTAAGGCTGCTCATGAGTCATCTCAGTTAACTCTTGTTCTTTTCAGTTATACACTCTATCTCCATCTTATAGTCTTATGGAGGTTAAATATTATTTTCAGGGTCACACAGCTAGTGGATCACAGAGCTAGGATTTGAACCCTAACAGTCAATGACAACATCTAGAGAGAAAGAATGCGACTGAGAAAGCAGACACTAAAATCAATGTGAAGTTAATAAGCAATGAACATTAACTCAAGCAATGAAGTGATGTTCATGAATGTTCTTGCATTTATGAAATATGTTGTATTGGGATCAATCTTGGGAAACTTTAGAATTTCCTAAGGAAAATGCACCTGCAGACTGGTTCTATGAGATTATGGATCAATGTTATGAAATCCCAATAGGGGATAGCCACACAGCCACCTTGTTTTTTTTGGAAGCCAGGAGAAGGCTTCTGTGGAAGGTAGAATGGTTTGGCATTCTATGGGCTTGAGTCATTAGTTGATTAACATAACATACATTATAAGTAACCTGTACCCAATCAAAATAGAGCATAGATTCTAAATCAACTTACTATAGAGACAGTCACATTCTATCACGGTCACGGGAGAGGTCCACCTTGAGTAGTCATAAGAAATCAAGCTGAGGATTGTTCACATCAGGGAAAGGATAGCCACATGCCACCTTGGTCTTTTGGAAGCCAGGAGAAGGGGTAAGAACCCAGGAGATACTTTAAAGCCCTTTAACTGAACTGTATAACAAAAACGAAAGTCTATACACCGTTTTCCTCCAAAAGTCCTCTTGTTGTGGTCTGTGGTTTCTAAGGTCTTTTCTGCAACATTCCAATAGAATAACCAAGGTAGAATTTACCTCGCTATTACTTGTCAGAAATATAAGACTCCTTTCACTGGGAACCTGGTCACAATTTTAAATCAGGCGGAATTGTTTATAATTAATTTTGGGCGTTACCAGAAGAGGCCAAGATCTCATCTTTGTACTTTACTCAGAGATTTAAATCAAATACATGTAAATTCATGTTATGATCCCCATTACAAGTATAGCGTTTTAACAATTTATGATTTATTGAGGCTAACAACTTCCTTTTACCCGGAAATCCTTAATAATTTAATAAGATTTATGCCTGAAATTAGATATAATGTTTTAGTTCTTAAAGTGTAATGACAGTAGAGGAATGCTGAATGATTTAACCAAACTGAAGATATGGTCAATCTAAAATAGTGAAAATCCAAATTCAAGTATTTTTAAAAGACAGAGTTCCTATTGTAAAGTTCATAAAATAACGAGTGGCATTGACAAGTAGAAGTACTAAGCATTTTCTTTACAAATAAATGTTGCTTTATAATTATTGTTTAACTAAATATAAGCTTTCTTCTTTAAACTATTAATTTTTCAAGAAAAATATTTCCCTCTGAAGGTCTGCTACTCTTCAATGGCCTGCTGCCTATGAGTGGATACTGAATTAATGAGTTGATTTCATTCATCATCTTATGCCAAAGTAAATAAGTGTGGTTTCATATCAGGATATTCTAAAGTCAAACCTTCTCCTTTCTTCTTTTCTCTCTTTTCCAACTACTAGTTCCAGTTATGCTTATCTTGCTCATAGGTTCTATTTCATGCCTGATACCAAAAACTTTAGTATTAAGCAGAGTGGATTAGGGCATGCTTGCCCAGTACTGGGTATATGATTCTGCCTGCCCTGCTCATTCCTTCATGCTTTTGATCTATCTGTAATTTGTGATAATAACATTACTCAGTAATTTGAATTGTCTTAGTGTTTTTCACCATCCTGAAGAATCCCCAAATGCATCATTTTAGTGGGTAAGTAAAAGTATACACTATACATTCCTGATAAAACTTGTTTAAATGAGGGTTTTTTCCCAAATAATAATCTCTTCTATTTAGAACATTTAAGTTGCCTAGCAATCTTGACTAACATTATTATAATTCTTGATAGAATATCTTCATACCTACTACTTATTTGCTAAAATTGATAGTATGAAACATATTAAGGTAGAATTTATCTAATTGTAGTTTTGACAGATTGCATCTCAGTAATCAAAAGGGAGGAACTGTGAGTAAAATAAAAAGGAATTCTGTTCAATAAATTCCCTTCAGCTCACAGGTTTCAAAAAAATCTTTTAACAGTATGCTTACAATTATGAATTAATGTAAAAATGATAAGCAGAATGTTATATGTGATGTTCCTTTCTGTGTCACTTTGATGGTTTATGTCTCTATATATTTTGTTTTCTTTTTTTTTTTACGAATCAGGATTCTGATTCATTCCTTTTATTTATTTTTCTGTTTTCTACCTCATTAATTTCTGCTTTTGTCTTTATTGTTTCCTAGCATGTGCTTCTTTTTTTTTACTTTTAATCTACCTTTTTGTGTTAGAAATTTAAATCACTTATTTTCATTTTTGAAATAGAAGTTTAAGGCTAGACACTTTCCTCTTTTCATTACTTTAATGTATCTTAGATTCTGATGTGTAGGTTTTCATTGGCATTATTTTTCAGAAATTCTTTAATTTCTGATCTTATCTATCACACAATTTGTGTTTTATCTAAGTGGTTGTGTTATATCAGAAAATTACAAATAACATATTTATTATAGAATGTGCCTTTTAACTTGAAGTGCCCTTTGTCTTATGTACTGTTCTTCGGGTTGAAGACCTCTTGGTCTGGAATCAGGATTTTAATCCATGCTTTCTTATTGTTTTCATTTACCTGGCAAATCGTTACCACTGTACTAATATCAGTGCCTTTTAAATATCCTTTTGTGTATAACATAGAGTTAAATTTTTTAAAGAGTCTGTTTGAAAATCCTTTTATTTGAATTGGCAAGTTAAAAGTTTCTTCATATTTATTGACATGACTGTTATATTTGGCCTAAATTCTTCCATATTATCTCTCTCTAAAAGCAATAAATTAAAACTAAATAAAATTTGTCATATTATTATTACATTATTTTGTGTGTAATTACTGTATTATATTACATTTGCAGTATTTATTTGGTGTTTCTTATTTTTTCTTTTAAAAATTCTTTTGCCACTTGAGAAGTTTTTTTATTCTAGTGATTACCTTTGCAGTAATATTTTTTATAGTGCACTTATAAACCCCTTTTTTCCTTATTTAATTTGTCAGTTTTAAATGGTATCTTTTGACAACCAATGGTCTACTTTCCCCCCTTTCCTCTCTTCTTTCCATTTGTAGTTATACCTGTTCTCCTTTGTCACACGTATATGTGTATATTATTGTTTTTTAAAATGCATTTTTATTTATTTCAGAGAGGAATGGAGAGGGAGAGAGAGATAGAAACATCAACAATAAGAGAGAGTCATTGAATGGCTGCCTCCTGCACGCCCCATACTGGGGATGGAGCCCACAACCCCGGGCATGTGCCCTGACCGGGAATTGAACTGTGACCTGGTTCATAGGTCAACACTCAACCACTGAGCCACGCCAGCTGGGCTATGTATATTATTATTTTTCAATGTCACTATCCCAGCCATGGTTTAGTGTCAATTCTACAGTTGAATATTTAAATGTTCACCACAAATTGTTTTGTAAAGTTTTCCCAGTCGTCTTTTTTTTTTAATGCTTGTCTTTACCTTTATTCCAAATTTTATTTTGAAAAATTAAAAACCTACAGAAAAACCAAAAGATTTTCACCAGGAATTAAGACTTTGCCACATTTGCCCGTTGTCTTTTGGTTGGATGAAGCTTCACCATCTCCAGTAGATGCCTCAGAAGGGCATATGTGTACAGTGTACAGTCAAAACCATTTTTCTATGGCTTTGAATCTTTCAAAGGAGATCTTGGCTGCATATATCTTTCCTTGGTTTGTAGGCACTTTCCTTATACTTCTTTAAAATGCTGCTTTATAGTTGCCTGTCTTTGTATGTTGTTTTTGAATAATCTGATGCTATTGTAATCCTCTTGCTTTTGTAAAGTAGTTCATCTTTTTTTGCCTGAAGGCCCTGAGGATTTTTTCATTGTCTTTAAAATCTTATTATTTTACCAGGATATGTTTCAGAGTTGATCATTATAGTATGAAAAATGTGTAAATTCAGGTCTTCCTTTATTTCTAGGAAACTTTGTTGGATTATAGTTTTAAATAGTAGTTCTGTGTCATGGTTTTGATTTTCTTCTTTAGGGACACCAGTTATGCTCACTCTCCTTTGTTTATCTTTCATGTTATTCACTTCTTCTCTCACCCGTTGTATTTATTTGTCATAGTTCTCAATCTCTTGGTTGTTTTTCTGATTTTCTTCATGCCTTTATTAACTTTTTATTACAATCTGTCCTCTCTTGTGTACTTTGTTATTTGGTCTTTATCTCTGATATAATTTTGTCTTTTTCTTCTTTGTTTCATGACTTCAATCAGCTCTCGTTTAATTTATGTTTGTTTGCTAGTTCTATTTGTTTCTTATTCATTTCTCTTGTTAAGTTTTACATTTCTGATTCAAGGGTAATTTTTCATATCCCTAAATGCTTGTTTGAGAATATTTACTTCAGTTTGCATTGTTGTGTTAGTTTTCTTTGAATTCATGTTTGTTGGTGGGGCAGCAAGTGAGGACAACTTTTAATCAGCAGAAAAGATTTTATTAGCATTTTCATACACTTTGCAGTAGTTTTGTATGGAGGGGGTCTGCTTTTGTCTGTTCATTTTGTGAACAGGATTCCTAGTTTGAGAGAGCGCCCTCTTCCGGGCAGTTTCTTTTATGGACGGTGATGGTGGAATGGGAGGGGTAGAAGGAGAGTTGGTGTATCTTGCTTTATTTTTGTTTGTGATGGAATTTCCCCCTCATTTCCTCCTTTCCCTTTCTACCATGTCTCCAGTGGAGATCACCTCTTCTCTCCATACCTGATTCTCCCCCTGAAACACTGCTTCTCAGAGGCTGCTATTTCTGGTCCCTGCACACTTCCAAGCCCTTGAGGCATAGCTAGGGCCATGGACCTCAAGTTCCAACTTTTGCTTAGTGTCTCAGCTTTTTTAATTATTCACTTCCTTTAGTCTGTGCTTTTTCTCAGCCCTCTGCTCCCCTCTGCTCCTTTTGAGCATCTCCTCTCCCATCTCCATACCCACAGGCCTACAGCGCTGGTAGGCAGACTGTGGGAGAAATTTTGGGGAAAAATTTTCCTCTGCTTACAGATAATTTGAAGGTTGTGGTATTCCCTGTCTAGAGGGAATCTTCTAGAGAGATGGAAGGAGTCCATGTGGTTTTATTTATTTGTTCCCTTTGTTGATTTTATGGTTGTTTTCAGAAAATTCGGGGGAGCTTTGGAATCAGACCACCACCATTGTTGTCCAAACTCAGACGTCCCACCTTGGCCTAATCTAAAATTATGAGCACTCTTTGATATCAAAGAAGTTTTTCAGTTTCTATTAATGATTTTTTAATTTTCTGGTTTGTGATTTTTTTTTTACTAATTTGTGACTTTTTTTTACTAAGGAGATATTTTCTTCCATGATTTGACAATGTAACTTTATGAAAGAGACTAAGAAAAGAGAAAACCTCTGCTCCCAACTAGAGTTTTAATTAACTAAAGTATTAGGGTGATTTTTTTTTTAGGTTTTCTTTAGTAATCCTGTTGGCCATCCAAATCAACACTTTTTACAATAAGATTCTATTCATTTTTTAATTTTATATAATACAAATTTTTGTATAAATATTTTCCTGGTGAAAAATTATTACTAAATTTCAAATTTGAACAAAGTCAATTCCTCTTCAATAAATATTTTCACATTATACCTTATCAACAAATATTGAATCCCTGTCTTTTATAGATAAGAACTAAAAGAACCTAACAGGGAAGCATTCATATTTCAAGATCTCTAAGAAGAGGCAGCAATATTTAATATGGAAAAAAAACCTTGTGAATCACATAATGAAGATTTATCAAGTAGTGGCATTGCATCCAATGGAGGTATATGTTCTTTATAAAACAATGGGAAAAAATAGAGTTAAGCAGTTTAGTATTCATTCAGGCTACTGCTTTTAGTATGCTTAACTATTCGGTATAGACCTTGGCCATGAATGTTTGTAAGTCTACTTTTTGAGAAATTGTTTACTTTTTTAAAAATAGTCTATCTGGGGATTTTTTTTAGCATATGTTAACATTACATTTTTGGCTTAGAAATTGTTTCCATGTTGAGGTACTTGAACACATTCCATATTTCCCTAAATACCTCTCTTCCTTCATCGACTCTAAGCTAGAATTCTGTATCATTTTGACTTCTTTTCTCTTACCAACCCTCACAGCCAGTCAGGTACTAAGTCTTACTCCTTCTATTCACAGAACTGTATCTCAGATTCTGATGTGTAGTGTTTTCATTGGTATTTATTTTCAGAAATTCTTTAATTTCTGTTCATATAACACAATTTATGTTTTATCTAAGTGGGTGTTATATCAGACAATTAGAAGTAATATATTTTTTAAAATATATTTTTATTGATTCCAGAGAGGAAGGGAGAGGGAGAGAGAGATAGAAACATCAATGATGAGAGAGAATCATTGATTGGCTGCCTCCTGCACACACACTACTGGGGATCAAGCCCACAACCCGGGCATGTGCCCTTGACCAGAATCAAACCTGGGCACCTTCAGTTCTCAGGCTGATGTTCTATCCACTGAGAAAACTGGCTAGGGATAGAAGTAATATATTGTAGAATGTGCCTTTTAACTTTAAGTGCACTTTAAGTGTCTTATTTAATACTAGAGGCCCAGTGCATGGATTTGTGCACCAGTGGGGTCCCTTGGCCTGGCCTGCGCAAGTAAGTCCAATATCCTCGGGGATTGCAAAAGGGTGCAGGCCAGGCTGAGGGAACCCACTGGTGCACAAACCTGTGCACCGAGCCTCTAGTATGCATATAAGATCTTTGGTTAATCTCTTCCCTCCCTCCCCTCTCCTCCCTTCCCTCTGAGATTCATCAGTCTCTTCCATGTTCCTATGCCTGTGCGTTGAGCACCTACCCCCTGGTGGTCAGTGTGCATCATAGCTACTGGTTGCATGTTTGAACGGTTGGTTGCTTAGGCTTTTATATGTATACTAGAGGCCCGGTGCACAAAAATTTGTGCACTCGGGAGGCGCCTCAGCCCAGCCTGTGCCCTCTCACAGTCTGGGACCCCTTGGGGGATGTCCACCTGCTGGCTTAGGCCCGCTCCCTGGGGAGTTGGGCCTAAGCTGGCAGTCGAACATCCCTCTGGCAGCCCGGGAGCCCTTGGGGGATGTCCACTTGCCAGCGGGGAGCAGGCCTAAGCTCCAGTCAGACATCCTTAGTGCTGCTGAGGAGGCGGGAGAGGCAGCCGTCAGCCTGGCTTGAAGCTGAGCAAAGCTCCCCCTGTGAGAGTGCACTGACCACCAGGGGCAGCTCCTGCATTGAGCATCTGCCGGCCAGAGCTCCAAGCCTCTCCTTTTTTTCTTTTTTTCTGGGATTTATTTATCTTCTATAATTGAAACTTTGTAGCCTTGAGTGGAGTCCAGGTTTGCCAGGGCATGCGGGAAGCTTGGCTTCCTCCATCGCCGGAGGCAACCTAAACCTCCTGCTTGCTCCAGCTCTGTGGCCGCCGCCATCTTAATTGGGTTAATTTGCATACTTGCTCCTGATTGGCTGGTAGGCATGGCTGTGTGGGCATGGCTTGAGCGTAGCAGAGGGATGGTTAATTTGCATGTTTCTCTTGAGTCTGACTTTTTTTCTTTTACATGAAAGGTAGCATATATTTTCAGCTGAGTGCTTTTCTCAGCCTGCTTATGGAATGGCCTCTTACTATCTCACTCTATCTCTGTCTCTTAGTGCAAGCCAGCAGTATGTCTTGAATATAATTCTCTCAAACCTTTATGGGTCTTCTGTGAATCTTCCTGGGTTTCACTCTTTTGGTTTTTTCCTTTAACTATTGGTATTTCCTCAGAGCACTCTTCTTGATCCTCTTCCCTTTTCACTCTATATACTATCCTTAGATGATCCCATTGACGCCAAGGATTTGCTAGAATTCATACACTGATAATTCCCAAATCCCAATCTCTGAAGCAAAAATTCACTCCTAAACTTCAGGTCTATGTTCAGTATTTGCAAACCAAACATCCTCATTGGATGTTGCTGAAGCCCAAACCCAAGAGAAATACTTGACACTTTCCTCTCTTTTACTTCACGTGTATTTCTCAAATCCATGCTTTTGTTTCTGTCACCACTGCCTCTGCTTTAGGGCACACCCTTGCTATTTCTTGCCCGAATCATTGAAAACCTTTTTCTATGTGGATTCTCTACCTTCAGTTTTATCCCCATTGATGCATTCTCCACATCGAAGCCAGAGAACTTTTTCAAAACACAGACCTACTTATATTGACCCCCTACTTTCAAATCATTTAATGATTCCTCAGCGCTTTCAAGATGAATCCAAACTCCCTGGCATGACCCCACAAGGCCCTTCATTATCTGTCCTACATTTTCATTTTCATAACTGGCCACTACTTTCCTTTCACCCAGAATATGCCATGCTGTCTTAAGCCTCCTTGCCAATAATTACGGTGCTCCCACTATCTGCAGTGCCCTTCCTTTTCTCATCCTCCAGACAAGGCTCATTCAGCTCAAGCATCACTTGATCCCTATCAGGTAAAACTCCCTCCTTCTTCCTAATCTGCTTCTCCTTTTTACCATGTGCTCCTCTCTCAGAGGTACTTTCACTTGTCTATTTGCCCCAGGAGACCTTGAGCTACTTCAAAGTATAGTAAGGAAATCATCTAAGATAATGATTGCCACAAAATGATGTTAGTAATAAGTTAATCAGTTAATTCTTTAATATTTAGGTTCTTCAAGTCCATTTTTTATGTCACCTATACGTGGTACAATAATTGAAAACGCATCAGCACCTGGGATTGTGACGCAAATCCCCTTTTTCCCTAAATATGAAGTAGAACCTGATTCTCACAGGAAAGTCATCCCTTACCCTGGAAAAGAACACATCGAACGTGTTTTGGAGGAATATTCACATCAAGTCAAAGATTTGCAGAAAAGACTAAATGAAGTGAGTTGCAATCTTTTCTTTCAGTACCTGAGGCCGGTTTGGGAAGATAGTGAGGCACAATGCCTTGGAATAGAACCTAAACTTTCTAGAAGAAAAACATAATGGATTTATTGGTTAAACTTGCTAATTAGGTCTATGCCTTCTATTTCAGTATTAAAAGTTGAACTGATGAAAAGTCTACATACTAACTTCTGGGAATATATCCTAAGATTTGAAACACTAATTTGAAAGAGTATATGCACCCTATGTTCATAGCAGCATTGTTTACAATAGCCAAGATCTGGAAACAGTCCAGGTACCCAACAGTAGATGAGTGGATACAAAAGCTGTGGTATAGCCCTAGCTGGGTGGCTCTGTGGGTTTGATTTCTGGTCAGGGCACATACCTCAGTTGCTGGTTTGATCCCCAGTCAGGGTGCATATGAGAGGCAACCAATTGATGTTTCTCTCACATTTGTATCTCTCTCTCTTGTTCTCTCTCTCTCTCTCTCTCTCTCTCTCGCTCTCTCTCTCTCTCTCCCCCCTCCCCCTTCTCCTTCCCTCCCTCCCTCCTTCCCTCTCTTCTCCTCTCTCTAAAATCAATAAAAACATATCCTCGGTGATGATTAAAAAGAAAAGTTGTGTCATATTTACACAATGGAATACTACATGGCTGTAAAAAAAAAAGAAGGAAATTTTATCCTTGGGGACAGCATGGATGGATCTGGAGAGTATTGTACTAAGTGAAATAAGCCAGTCAGAGAAAGACAAATACTATATTATCTCACTTATATGTGGAATCTAATGAACAAAGTAAACTGACAGACAAAGTAGAAACAGAGGAATGGATATGTAGAACAGACTGACAGATGTCAGAGTGGAGGGGGTCTGGGTGTATGTGCGTGCGTGCGTGCGTGCGTGCATGTGTGTGTGTGTGTGTGTGTGTGAATGGGTGCATCTGTAATAATGTCAATAATAAAAATAAAGTTAAAAATCAATTAATAATATATAGAATTTGGAAATTACTGGCTGTAAGGATATATGTTCCTCTGATGAAGACTAATTTGACAATAAACACATGATGTACTATAAAACCTATATAATTTTCTTAACTAACCTGAAACCTATATGATTTTGTTAACCAACTAGAGGCCCGATGCATGAAATTCGTGCAAGGGGCTCGGCCCTCACAGCCACGGTGGCTTGCCTCAGCCCTCACAGCCCCGGCTTCATCTAGAAGATTGTCTGAAGGTCATTCGACTGTCCAGTCTAATTAGCATATTATGCTTTTATTATTGTAGATGATACCCCAATAAATTTAATTTAAAAAGAAAAGACTAATTTGCATGGCATCTTATTTTTTCAGAGCAATGAATTGCATGAGAAACAGAAGTTTTACTTAAGGCAGTCAGTCATTGATTTACAAACAAAACTTCAAGAGATGCAAATGGAGAGAGATGCCATGGTGGACATCAGGTTGGGATCTGTTACCTGCAATTATCTTAGAGCTTTACTCTTTGTACTGTATTACCACTTGTGTGATTATGAATTTCATCAATATTATTTTTTCTCTTTTATTTATTTCATAGACGAAGGGAGAATCAGTCCCAGGAGGATTTAAAAAATCAGCTTCAAAATACAGTTCATGAACTTGAAGCTGCTAGAAGCCTTAAGGAGGACATGCTGAATGATAGCAACACACAGATAGATCAGCTAAGAAAGATGATGCTTAGTCATGAGGGAGTGCTTCATGAAATCCGATCAATCCTAGTTGACTTTGAACAAGCCTCAGGCAAGAAAATATATGAACACGACAGCCTGTCTACTATCCACTTCCGCAACATGGGCTCAGCTATTAGTAAAATCCTAAGAGAATTAGACACAGAGATTTCTTATCTTAAAGGGAGGATATTTCCAGTAAGTGGTGAGAACACTACTTCAATTTTATATTAAAATTTATTAAGACAATAGTATTAGGCATGTAATTTTTTAAATTCTTAAAAGTAAGTTTTCATTTTTATACTCTAAAATAATGGAGTTGCTTCCACAATGATCTGTTATAATAAAGGGAACTAGCTTGATTGACCTGTAAAGCTTCCCGAGATTATAGCCAAAGTAAAAGATCTATTAAGATACAGTGACAGAATGTATCCAATTTAAGTATTACTTCTATTTGCATCTTATTTAAAGCATTCCATCAGTTGGAAAATCTCTAAATTTTCCAAGCTTTAGTTTTACTGGTTTCTAAATCCACATCTTTTTTTTATTACTAGGTAGAGGATCAGCTTGAAGCACTGAAATCTGAATCACAGAACAAAATAGAGCTGCTTCTTCAACAACATCAAGATAGGTAAGTGCCTGGCTGAGCTAGAAAATCACAGGGAAACTGTACCACAGGTCTCCAGTCCCTCATCAGTAATTGCAAAATCTAAAAAGCTCTGAAACTCAGAAATTTGTTTTTCATAGGTTTGTGGTGAATTGCTAAAGAAAAAAATTATTCGGACACTTGTTAAAACAGTAGGGAAGGCCCAGCCAACGTGGCTCAGTGGTTGAGCGTCAACCTATGAACCAGGAGGTCACGGTTCAATTCCTGGCCAGGGCATATGCCCAGGTTGCAGGCTCAATCCCCAGTGTGGGTCCTGCAGGAGGCAGCCAATCAATGATTCTCTCTCCCTCTCCCTTCCTCTCTGAAATCAATAAAAATATATTTAAAACAACAACAACAACAACACAAAACAGTAGGGAAGATTTTATTCAAAACTATTGAAATAGGAGTGTGGGAAGCCAGTTCCAGCATGACAGTAGGGCTGAATCTGGGAATGGCTGATGGCATTTCCCCAAACCTGAATAAGATACATTAAATTTATTGTTTGCTGCCAGACAGCTCAGGACATCTTAATCTACATGTTTTTGCCTCCTACTGGCCAAACACCTGAACATCCGTAGGCTAATTCCCCCATTCTGACAATGCCTCTGTATACGAAACCCTGACCCTTTGAAGTGTTTATCTCTGCCTCGCCTCAGGACAATTTGTGTTAATAAAAAGCATGGGGTCCTGAGACAAGGAGATCTTAGTTTCCTTTAAACTAGGCTCCTCTGACCCCCAAATGCCTTTCAAAATTATATTTCGTCTCTGGACTCCTATTTAATCTATGCACAGCCTTCTCCAGATTTCCTGAACCCTTCTTAATGCTGTAACAAGAACCTGGCATAGGAGTTTGCATTAAAGAGAGATCAGGCTCAACTGCTAGGACAAGGACAAGCCAGGATTCATAGCAAGAAGCAGGGGGAGAGGGTCATCGGGTGAGAATTGCCAAGAGGATACACCAAGGGTGAGGGGATTCTCACTAAACTAACTCAGCAAGATTCTTACTAAGCCCAGGCATATTAAGGGGGTGGAGGGAGGCAGGAGGGCCTAGTTGAGAAGCAGGCTCAGAGGAGCCTGACTAAAGTTTGGTCAAGGAGAAAACCTTTGTCCCTCATTTGTTGGCAAATCTGACCTGAGCAAATGTGAAGCTTTTTATCGTCTTTATGATTTAGTGAATATTTTAAAGCCTGTTGTTGCATTAGTAATATGTTTGGCCTATAGGACACTTCCCCAGATCTCTCTGGGGATATCATATAATATATAGCCCTTATAATTTATTACCTTTGTAAAATTTTTTAAAATTCTGAATTTCAAAACATAGCTGGTCCCCAAAGGATTTAGATAAAGGACTCTATACCTAACTTAGACACTTGTAGTAAAAAGAGCAGCATAGTCAAAGCCAAAACAAAATTTGAGAGTATTGAAAATTATTAATTTTTTGCATAATTTAAATGCATAATCTTCTGTATCAAATAGCAGTCACCACTTTTTTTTTTTTTACAGGATTGAGCAGTTAATAAGTGAACATGAAATAGAAATAACAGGACTCACTGAGAAAGCTAGCAGTGCTCGAAGCCAAGCCAATAGTATCCAAAGTCAACTGGAAATCATTCAGTATGTGTGTTCTAGTGGTTTGAAATTGACTCATAATCTTCATTTTAAGTTTATTTTCTGCTTTGAGCTCTTTTTAAAATTGCTTAATAATTGATTTCACAAGAAAGTAAAACTTTTCTAACATTTAAATGAATAGAAAAGATACTTAACATATAGGTAATGTTATATGACCATATCAGGAGTATTATTTTAAATATTTGGACCTTTTGGGATTGGATGTTTTAAATATTGTTCATATTTTAACTGACAGGATAAAACAAACACATTATGTGTGTATAAATATATATAAATAAAAAGTATATGCATATAAATAATTATATAATTTGAGCTTATGTGTTGAAACCTTTTATATGGACATTTTCAATTATACACAAAAGTAAAGAGAATAGTTTCATGAACTCCCATCTACATATCACATAGCTTTAATAGTTAACATTTTTGAGCTCTTTTTCTTAATTTTTATTTTTAAACTATTTATTGTTGAGAGTTTTACAGATGTCCCCCCTTTCCCCTCCCTATTGCCCCCCTTCACCTGGATGCCACCCCACCCCAGGTCTTCACCACCCTATTTATTGTGTGTCCATAGGTAATGCATATATGCATATAAATTCTTCAGTTAATCTCTTCCTGCTCCCCTCTCTTTCCCCTTCCCTCTGAGATTCATCAGTCTGTTCCATATTTCCATGCCTCTGGTTCTATTTTATTCATTAGTTGTTGTTTTTTTCCATTAGATTTCTTGTTCATTTATTTTGATTTTTAGATCCAATTGCTGATAGATAGGTATTTACTGCCATTTTATTGTTCATATTTTTTATCTTTTTTTCTTCTTAAAGAAGACCCTTTAACATGTCATGT